TCATCTTATTTACTATATTATTTTAATTTTATATTTAATTTTGTGCTTTATTTGCTTTATTTTGCTTTTTATATATTTTAATAGAAATTAATTTTCCTTGTATATTTTAACTATTATTTATTTATTTTATAACTTTAATTGTATATTTTACTAAGTTAGTACAGTGCATATTTAATTACATTTATTTCATTTTATCTTTATTTAAATTTTATTTAACTTAATTATATTTTATGTTAAATGTTATATTTAATTTCCATTATATTTAATTTCCACTTAGTTTATTTTTTACTTATTTTATCCATTTTAATTACTTGTCTATTTCAGTTTATATTTTATTAGCTTATTTCATGTTATTTATTTTAACTTTACGTATTTAACTTTATTTCATGTTTAGAGTTTTTCTTTAAATTTTATTTGGTTGTTGCTGAGAATATACACAGCCAAACATGCCCCAATTCGCTAGCTTCTACCTGCACCGTTTCATGGCATTGGTCCCATTCTTCGAGTTGGGCAACGATTCCCCCTTCCTTTTCTGACTGGTTCCTGCCTCATTAACATCAACTCACGGTACCCTAAGCTTCTGGTCTAAACATCCCAGTTGGTGTTGTCAATTGGATCTATACAGAGCAAAAAGGCAAATCTACTCCCAAAGACCTCTTGAAAGTGTTAAAGAGCAAAGATGTCACTTTGAAGACTAAGGTGCACCTGACCCAAGCCATGGTATTTTCCATAGCCTCCCACGCACGTGAAAGCTGGACAGTGAATAAGGAAGGACGAAGAACAGATGCATTTGAATTGTGGTTCTGGTGCAGAGTATTGAATACATCCCGGATGAATAAATCTGTGTCTTGAAGGAAGTACAACTGGAATGCACTTTAGGAGAGAAAATAGCCAGACTTGTCTCACCTACTTTGGTCATGTTGTCAGAAGGGAGTAGTCCCAGGAGAAGGATGTCATGCTTACCAAGAAGACAGTCAGTGAAAAAGGGACGACTCTCAATGAGATGGACTAACAGAGTAGTGACAGTTGGCTCAAGCACTATGACGACTGAGAGGGTGGCACAGGACAGGGAAGTGTTTCATTCTGTCGTCACTAGAAGTCAGAACCGACTCCACAGCACCTAACAACAGATCTTTCTCATTGTTGTTTTTGTAAATATATCTATCACACAACTTTTGCCAATTCAGCTTTTTACAGGTGCACAACTTCTGGACAGTAATTACAATAACTGCCCGTGTAACCCTACCCGTAATCAGTGCAATTTTCCATCACCATTAATCCCTTTTTTCCTCTCCCTCCTGCCCCTGGTAACCACTAATGCATGTTGGCCTCCTAATGTCTTAGCTATCTAATGCTGCCACAACAGAAATGCAGCAAGCGGACAACTTTAACAAACAGAAATCTATTTCTCACAATCTGGGAGGCTAGAAGTCTGAATTCAGAACACCAGCTCCATGGGAGGGCTTTCTCTGTCAGTTGGAGGGGAAGGTCTTTGTCTCCTTTCAACATCTGTGGGCTTGGCATCCCTCAGGAATCTCCATATTTTGTCATCAATCTTCCCTCTGACTCTAGAAGGCTCACAGCACAGGGACCCCAGGTCCAAAAGACACACTCAGCTCCCAGCTCCTCTTTCTTGGTGGAACTGAGGTCCCTCTTCTCTGCTTCTTTAACCCCTTCTTACCTGAAAACATATCGACTCTGTCATTGTTGTTAGGTGCCGTCCAGTCAGCTCTGGCTCATAGCAACCTCATGTACAACAGAATCAAACACTGCCTGGTCCTGCGTCAGCCACACAATCCCTGCTATACCTGACCCATCGTTGCATCCACTGTGCCAATCCATCTCATTGAGGGCCTTCCCCTTTTTCACTGACCCTTCGCTTTACCAAGCATAATATCCTTCTCCAGGGAATGGTCCCTTCTGAAAACATGACCAAAGTAGGTGAGATGAAATCTGGCCATTCTCCCTTCCAAGGAGCATTCCAGCTGCACTCCGTCGAGGACAGACCTGTTCATTCTTCTGGCAGCCCATGGTACCCTCAGTATTCTTCACCAACACTTTGCAGGGACACAATTCAATCCATGACACTACACATTTGCTTTTTCTTGTCTTTCTATGTAAGTAAGTTCAAACGGTATCTTTCCTTTTGTGATTGACTTATTTCACAGCATAATGTCTTCCAGCTCCATGCCTACTTTAGCATAGATCAAGACTTCATTTATGCTAGTGGCTGAGTAGCACTCCCTTGTATGTATGGACCACATTTTGTTTATCCTTCATCTGTTGATGGGCATTTAGGTTGTTTCCACTTTGCGTTTTTGTGGATAGTGTGGTGATGAACACTGGTGTACGAATCTATTTGAGTCTCTGCTTTCAAGTCCTTTGATACAAACCTAGGAGCAGAATTACTGCTGTCCTTGTCTTTCAGAAAACTCTACTCAGAAAAGATCGGGACTCCTCCTACTGTGGTATTACTTTCTAACTGGTAACATCTGCAAAGAGAAACTATTCCTAAACAAGGTCGTATCCACAGACATGGGGTGAGGACACAACTAAGTCAGCGGCAAATCCCCAACAGCCTACTTGAGGCACGAGTCTGAGGCTTCAGTGGCTCAGCTGAGCTGGGCAATGTGGGACAGGGATTCTGCTCTCTGTGCTTCTCTGCCCTCTGACCATCAGCGTGGATTTGACCAACCACAGGAGGAACCCAGGTTGCACTTGCCAAACATCCTGGTTGTACAATCAGTGTCTTGTGGAAGACCTCAGGTCTGGTTGAAGCTGAAACCAAAGCCATCCTGTAACTGAGGTGCATGAAAGGTACATGGGAATAGGAGCAGCTCACATCCCCTTGTAGTTACATGAGAACATGGTGACAAAGTGATAGCATACAACTTGCTATAGTAAAATGATGTAGGAATACAAAGGACAGCTCATGTCCCGTCATAATGCAACAGTAATGTGGGGACAGATGGGACAGCTCACATCTCGTCACAGTGAAACATTCACATGGGGACAGAAAGGACAGCTCACATTCTGTCATAGTGCAACAGTAACGTGGGGACAGAAGGGACAGCTCACATCCTGTCACAGTGAAAAAAGTTATGTGGGAAAACAAGGCATAGCTCATGTCCTGTCACAGTGAAATAACATGGGGACAGCAGGGACAGTTCACATCTCATCACAGTGAAACATTCACATGGGGACAGAAAGGGCAGCTCACATCCCGTCATAGTGAAATGATAACATGGGGACAGAAGGGACAGCCACTTTCTATCGTAGTGAGATAACATGAGTACAGAAAGTACAGTTCACGTCCCATCACAGTGAAACAGTAATATGGGAACGAAAGGCACAGCTCATGTCCCATTGTAGTGAGATGATAACATGAGGACAGAAGGGGCAGCTCACGTCCCATCACAGTGAAAAAGGTATCACAGGGACAGAAGGGACAGCTCACGTCCTGTCGTAGTGAAATACCATTAGGACAGAAGGAATGGCTCACGTCCCATCATAATGAAACAACATGGGGACAGAAGGGGCAGCTTATGTCCTGTCATAGTGTAACAGTAACGCAGGAATAGAAGGGACAGCTCACGTCCCGTCATAGTGAAATAACGTGGGGATAGAAGGTGTCAACAGCATGACAATGTGATCTATTGTACTGAAATGGTTTTGTGGAATCATTTTCCTTAGAAACAGAACCATCAGATTTCAAGGTCAGAGTTAAGCTAAAATCTTTGTGACCAGTGTTCTAGTAATTGCTAGGTTTGAAACTCTGACAACTACAAGTTCTTAAAAATCACCGCTCTTTCTCCCTTCCCAAAAAACCTAGGACCCTAAAGGCTTTCCATATCTATTCCTGATATCCACTGAGGGGATCCTAACCTGTAAAAGTAAAAAAAAAGCAAACAAGAAAAACACACATCCATTCTCACAGTCTTCAAGGAGACAGACCACTGGCGTCTTCCTATGACAATGTTTCCACATGCTATGCGAGACCTGGTTGGCAGTCACCCAGGTGAGCTCTGTGGTTACTGCCATCTCCCAGTCTCACAGCGCAAATGCCCCTCTGTTCCAAACCCCACACAGCCTCCAGCTACTCCTGCCCTTTTCCAAAGCACTCGCTCTGCTTTTGTTGGAGCAAAGCTCACAGGAGAAAACTTGCTCTTCTAAGAAATAGTTGCACCCATTTACTGTGACAAAATTCACAAAGGTTTCGGCTCAAGCAAGTGTCAGGCTATGATTTAAATGATGCAAAGTCTCATATGTCATCGTACCACTGAAAAGTTTATTCAAATTTTATGCAAACGGCTTCATCAGCATCAATGCCATTCATGAAACAGCAAGCTCATCTGGTAATGAAGTGAAGGAGGAGGGAACACATGGGGTGGCACTCCCTTTGCTGCAAAGGAATGACCACCCCCCGGCTCTAGAAAGCAGACAGACATGGAAGCGAGCAGGGAACACCCAGGGACAGGGCCCCCCCCCCCCCCGCGTCAGTGTCCAGACCGGCCAGGTGGCAGCAGGGCCCAAGGCAACGTAAAGTCATGGAATGTGCTCATTTCTGTGACTGGTCATGAGAGAAACTTCTAATGATCGGCTTCGTGTGTACAAGTGCCACCCCAAAGGAGCAACCTAGAGAAGAGCTCGACCTGGACAGGAGAGCGGGGGGACACAGAGGACACCTGGGCAGCAGGGATGGCTCGGTGATGGCCCTGCAGGAGCACCACGCCTGACTCCAGCCCTCCTGGGATCATCTTTCTAGTGCACTTGTATATGTCTGACATACACAAGTTGAGGATGACAAAAGCATTTTCCTGAAACCTTATGTACTTCACAAGGTGGAAAACAAGGTGCTCAGTTGGTCATGAGCTCTCCCAGCGAGAGATCACGCAAGGAGGGTGAGACACAGGGTCCTGGCTGCTGCCTGCAGCAGCAGCTGTCACACCTGAGCTTGGGTCCCTGCAGACCACCGTGGCCAACGTGCAAGGAGAGCACGCTCACCGGACAAGGTTCCGCATGATGTTCAGGGAGGAACCCCGGTACCCCAACCCAAAGTGGTTCCAGTGGTTCAGGTAGTGGAAGAGTTGGTAGAGCTGCAGCCGCTGCTCAAACCCAGGGGCCTTGGGGATCCTGCTGTGGTAGGCAGAATAAAAGGCGCCGCTGAAGCCCCCAAACATGCCGGCAATCGCCAGCTCATACTCCGAGTGCCCATAGAAAGACACAGGGTCAAAAATGACAGGCCCAGAAGCGTCCTCAGCCACGTTTCCTCCCCAGAGGTCACCATGGAGCAAGGCAGGAACAATCTTCAGGTCCCGAAACAGGTCTGGGATCTTTAGCTAGAGAGGGAACATCACGTGAAGGGCTCAAACATTGTAGGCACACCTCAGATGCACCCCACCCATGTGCAGCAGCTCACACACAGGGCAGAGGCCAACAGATGCCCAGCTGGCAGGATCCACAGCCCTCCTCCTCCTCCTCATGATGGGACACTCACCTGCAGGGCGGCCCAGAGCTCGCGAGCTTCACGGTCCCCAGACTCCCTCTCCACCATGTCCATCTGGGGCTGAATGCGCTGCTGGGCAAAGAACACGACCCAGTCCTTCTGCCAGTCATTCACCTACACAGGGGACACTGAGTTCACGGACAGGGCAAGGCCAAGGATGAGGAGGAAATAACACAGCTGCTGCCCCAGGACCCCTCTGCTGCAGACACCAGAGTCATGGACAGCTGTCTGTCAGTGATTCCACAGACAGGACACCCCACGGGTCTGACCGTCCCTCAGTAATTCCACAGACGGGACACCCCACGGGTCTGACCATCTACTGGTAATTCTATGGATCGGGAACACCCCATGGGACCAGCCGTGCATCAGAAATTACACAGATAGGCTACCCTACAGGACTGACCATCCATCAGTAATTGCAGATAGAACACCCAGCAGGACCAACCATCCATCAGTAATTCCACAGACAGGACACCTCAGGGGTCTGACCATCCCTCAGTAATTCCACAGACAGGACAGCCCCACGGGTCTGATTATCCCTCAGTAATTCCACGGACAGGATACCCTACAGGTCTGATCATCCATCAGTAATTCCACAGACATGGCACCCCACAGGACAGACCATCCATCAGTAATTTGACAGACAGGACACCCCACGGGTCTGACCATCCCTCACTAATTCCATGGACAGGACACCGCCACCAATTCTCACCGTCCATCAGTAATTCCACAGACAGGACACCCCACAGGTCTGACTGTCCCTCAGTAATTCCATGAATAGGACACCCCACAGGACCAACCATCCATCAGTAATTCCATGGACAGGACACCCCACAGGACTGACCATCCATCAGTAATTCCACAGACAGGACACCCACATCACTCTCACTGTCCATCAGTGATTCCACAGGCAGGACACCCCCACCAGCTCACCATCCATCAGTAATTCCACAAATAGGACAGCCCCACAGGTCCGACCATCCCTCAGTAATTCCACAGACAGGACACCCCACAGGTCTGACCATCCGTCAGTAATTCCACACACAGGACACACCACAGGACCAACCATCCATCAGTAATTCCACAGACAGGACACCCCACAGAACCAACCATCCATCCATCAGTAATTCCACGGACAGGACACCCCACAGGACTGATCATCCCTCAGTAATTCCACAGTCAGGACACCCCACAGGACCGACCGTCCACCAGTAACTCCATAGTCGGGACACCCCACAGGACCGACCGTCCACCAGTAATTCCACAGTCAGGACACCCCACCAGCTCCCGCTTTTTCTACTGAACCTCAGGATCTAGCACACGCATATTTAACTTTTTCCGTAGCTCACTTGGATTTTCGGTCTGAGCACTTTGTCTTGAAACTCTAGAGGCTACTCCTATTTCTCATCTTCTCACTCATGCAATGAAGTGCCCACTGAGCACCCACTCAGACACTATCCCTCACACTGCAGAGAATTTAACGACCACCACAGTGACCTCAAAGCGCCTGGAACCCAGAAGGAATGACACAGAAATTTACCAACACCATATGACCAGGCACAAGCAACACAGTGAGGTCAGGCCCAGGAGGAGAGGTCTGAGACAAGCAAGGCCTGGGTGGAAAGGTCTGAGTGCAGGGTGGGCAGAACACATGAGAACAGGACATGGAAAGGAAAGAGTTGCATTGCTGGCAGACCCCAAGGGCAGGGCTGTGCACAGGAGGGCTATGTCCACACTGCCCAACAGCCAGTCTCCTACAACATTCAAAAGTGAACTGTTTACAGCCCAGCCCTTGCTCACCAGGAAACCCTTAGAATATTCTAGATTAGTCCGTACCCCCTCCCACAGAGCCATGCTGCATTTCCTGAGAGCAGATGACCCCTCCTCCCACTCCTTGTCTGCTGGACACCAAACCACCCTCAGCCAAGGTTCCAGGGAACAACCGAAACCATAAAACCAAGTTGTTACCTCCTCTCATGACTTTACACTTTACACAGAGAACGTTCATTTCCAACTTTCACTCCCTGGACACCCAGCCTCTTAACTTGCTTTCTTTCCAGTTCTCTATGCTCAATGAGAGGTTAAGGCAGGTAAACTTCGTATCAGCCTCTTGGAAGTCAGCCAAGCAGAAAAGGGTGCAGAGACTCACTGAACCCTGCAGGAAAGGGGGAGGGCATGCTTCCCGACTGCACCTGGCAGCTGAGCCGACTGAGCGGCAGGTGGCACGCAAGTCACTCACCTGGGGGAGGTAGCCACAGCAGGTCACCACATCAAACCCAAATTGGTCCACAAATGCACGTTCCACCTGGCCACCACCTCTCCCTGCAAGCCAAAGAACAGAGGCAACCTGTCCCCATGCTCTGAGTGACCTTGGTCCCCCTTCTCCGCCTCACCCCCTATTTCCACAGACAAGGGCCTCAGACCCTCATGGAGCCATGTTGCTGAGGCTTGGCCTTGGGAGCTCTCTCCACTGTCTCCTCGTCTCCAGGTATAAGGGGTAGCCCGGTCCACTGCCTCCTCATCTCCTCACGTGAAGGCCTGCTTCCCACCAGCAGCAACACCAGGAACAGAAACCTGTACTGGCCGACTTAATCATCAGAGGGCACCAACTGCTCTTGGCGGTGGCTCCAAAGGGTGCCGGGGGCAACAGTGAGTCCGAGACAAGTGGACATCCTGAAGGGAGGAGAGGCATCCATCCTGGGGCCCATCAGCCAAGGGTGGTTTTCAGGAGTGACTCCCCACCAGGCAGTTACAAAGGATAAACTGTTGTGTAGGATAAACTGTGAACACACACGGCCCATCTTGTGCAGCGCCACAAAGCCAAAGCAAATCCCAGCAGACTGAAGTCCATGCAGGGGAGAGACAAGCAGGCAGACAGACAGGGTCTGTCCATCCAGCACAGCAGATGCTCACAGGACAGGCAGATGGATGGGGTCTGTCCATCCAGCATGGCAGATCCTCACGGGGTACACAGGCAGACGGATGGGGTCTGTCCGTCCAGCACAGCAGATCCTCACAGGACAGAGAGGCAGACAGATGAGGCCCGTCTGTCCAGCACAGCAGATCCTCACAGGGCACACAGGCAGACGGATGGGGTCTGTCCGTCGAGCACAGCACATCCTCACAGGGCACACAGGCAGACGGATGGGGTCTGTCCGTCGAGCACAGCACATCCTCACAGGGCACACAGGCAGACGGATGGGGTCTGTCCGTCGAGCACAGCACATCCTCACAGGGCACACAGGCAGACGGATGGGGTCTGTCCATCGAGCACAGCAGATGCTCACAGGGCAGACAAGGTGCACCCTCCCAGCACAGTGGGTTCTGTTCTTTGTTTCCTGGTGTGTCAGCTACTCTCTGCTTAGCAGAGCTATCATGCAGACCGCATACGGGTCACCAAAAGCCAACAACATGGAGACACCCCCCGTACCCTGGCCCAGACCCTGAGGGCTCCTTAGAGGCAGACACAGGCTGCAGATGTGGCTCCAGACAGAAAGCCACGGAAGCTCGTGGGAAGCATCCTTCAGGGAGTAGCAGTCAGAGCAACCACTACACAGCAGGTCTGGAGCCCACCAAGTAAGTACCTCCCTCAAGACCAGGCTTGGTGCTGACCTCTCAGTGCTGCAGCAGGACCCCCTCACCCACCCAGGCCAGTATTCTCACCTAGGTGGGGTCCTCACAGCCCACACAGGAGCCACACTCCTACCCACTGCACCACCATGCTCAGTGCACCCTGTGCCCACCACCTCCCTCTCCCCACTGCTTCCCCTACATACTCCCTGCATCCTCGAGCCAAGCTTGGCACCAGTGCCCCACTTCAGGAGCGCCTCTCCAAGCTTCCCCCGCCATCATTCCCTCTCCTCACCCCACACTTACCATGCCCTCCCCCACCCTGTGCCCGTACCGACGGTGCTATCCTCCTTCCGGAGCGCCTCTCCAAGCCTCTGGTTATCCAGGTGCAGATCGGCCAGCTGGGCTCCAAGCGTTGCGGCGTGACTGTGAAACCAAAGGTAGCCATTGTCTACCAGACACTAATAAGGTGGCATGCAGAGGCAGACCTGCACCTACTCTAGGCCTCGTGGCACTGGAAGTGGGTCATGCATTGAGGAATCAAACTCCACTCAGGGAGGAGAGGGGAGACAAGGGCTTTGTTACTCACTCATCCCGTCTCACCCAAGCTCATAGGCAGGCCTTCAATGGCATCTCCCCAAAGTCCCCTCCCACCAGCCTGACCCCACACTGCACCACCCCCTGTATAGAACCCAAGACCTCCTTGCAAATGTTCCTCAAATGATCCTCAAATACAAGCTTCAGGGACACAGCAAGCTGGGGAGGCCGGACGCACCTGCTCAGGTACCGCATGTCCAGGTGCTCCATCACGAGCACACTCCCACCGCCGGGCCCATCGAGGACTGCAAGGGGCTTGGGCACCCTCACTGTGCCTGTGCGCAGGATGGCAGTGAGACTCGCCATCTCACCTTCAAACATTCTTCGGGCCTGTTGGGAGGAGGGGGCAGGAAGTGGACACACTTTCAAGCCACAGCCTGGTCAGGGACTCAGCAGACAGTGACAGCCATCATGAAGGTGCCTCTTGGGGCCTCTCACACAGGGCAGAGGGTATACACTGGACCTGGCTGGATTTGTATGCCATGGCTGAACTCAACGGCACGCTTCCCCACTGCTTCCCCAGAGAGGAAAGGCCCAATATCTAGCTGGGCTGGACTGTGGAGGTCGTGTCTGTCAACCTCCAGCCTCTCTCAACTACAATCCCTGCTCACACACACCACTCCTTCCGTGCAGTGGCCCTTGTCTAGGTGTATACTCAGGAATCGGGTCACTTTTCACTTAGGTGGATCACCACATTCTATCCCACCCCTCATGGCACCGGCAACCATCTCTACCACCATATCTGTCCCAGTCCAAAGGACAGCAGTGGCACCCCACCTGGGCTCCTGCCCCGCCCTTCATGCCCTTGACGCCAACCTAGAACACCTCCAACTAGACCCCTTCTCCACTTCCCTCCCAACACAGGCCCCACACCTGGCACCTGCCCACTGCCTGGCCCTCTCTACCCCAGCTCCACCACACACATGTGCACATACACACAACGCACGTGTGCACACAGTGCGCACACGTGCACAAACTTTGGGCTGTCTCAGATGACTCCTCCAGCCTTGAGGCCTCCCCCAGGGTGTCACCTTGGCCCAAACTTTGTCCCTTGCTGAGGCAGCTCCTTCCTAGTCAGCCTTCAGGCGTCAACTTAACTGTCAATTTCAGATTCTCAGAGAAATCTTACCTAACTTCCTAGACTAGGTAGCATCCCCTTTAAAAAACATATTTTCCTAATTAAAATTGTATTGATGTATGTGTAGAAAAGTGCACAACTCCAAAGGGAATGTTCAAAGCTACTCACACCTTTACCACCACCACGACAGCAAGTCAAATACTCTACTCCTCAGGTCGCTTCCCTCCCCAGCACTCACCATCCCACCATGAACATCCCACCCTGAACGCAGCCAGGGGTCCAGGTGGGGATGGTTGCTTTCCCTGTACTTGAGACTGGCCCATGTGGGCGTGAACAGTGCTAGTTCACCTTCTTTGGTGTGTATGCCTCACCTGTGACACCCCCTTTAAAGGCCTCCATCCATCCAATGAGGATGGACATCTGAGTTGCCAGTCTGGAGCTACAACAAACAGTGCTGTATGAACTTCCTCCTACCGATTCTCACACTTACTAACTCTGTGACCCTGGTTAAGCTACTTAAGTTCTCCGTGCCTCAGTTTCCACATCTGTAAAATGGCAATGACAGGGCTGATTTCCTGGGGCTGCTGCCATGATTAAATCGGTCAATGGCTAACACGCCACAGTTAACAGTTACACAGCTTACACAGTGCCTTTGAAATGCTCCAGAAACATGATCCACACCTTGAAAAGGTACGTGCTGAGGAGGAAGATGAGAATTGTGTCTGGAGGAGGATGTTCAGACACCAAGTACTCACTTTGAAAGGTAAAAGGACCACGGGGGCCCTGGCTCCACTTTGCGCTGGAACAGCGGTCAAGGAAAGCAAGGGAAGGGAAGTGTGAAGAAGAAAGGCAAGGTGGAGGAAGGGCAGGCTGTGGACCCAGCCAGAGGCCAAGTCCCCTCACAGCAACGTCCACTGCTGTGCAGCCCACAGTTCCAGCAAAAGCCAAGAGCACTGCTCCTGAGCGGAACCAGGCAAAACAAGCATGGCCTGTTGGGCAGAGCACCGAGAGATCTAGAGCTGAAAAAAACAGGTGGAGGAAGAGACGCTGGGAAGAGAGCCACTGCACACGCGTGCCAAGGACAGATAACAAGAATCAAGAGGGTCCGAAAAGGAGAGCAACGATGGCGACACAACATGCCACCAGTGTCCCTGAGCTGTAGAGGGGGAAGTTGTTATGCTGGTGAATGTCTTGTTGTGTGTGTTCCCCCCACAACAAAAGTAAAAAAACAAAATAATCAAGAGGGAAAGGGAAACAACTGGGCCAGGTCAGCTCCAGCAGAGGAGAGAAACAGGAGGGCAACCTCGCTCAGAGGTCTGAAGGTGCCTCCGCCTCCCAAGAGGCAGAACACAAATGTAACCTCCCATTCAATATAATCAGCAAACACTTACCCCATGGCCAGTATGTGAACCCAACTCCCACTACAGATTCCAAAGCCAGCTAGAAACAGACAACACATTTGGAACTACTCACCAAAGGACACGGAACTTGTGAAGAACAGGGGAAAAAGAAAATGGACTTCAACATAGGAAGAGCAGTGACTGAGGACATACAGAGCCACTGGGCATCGGACCTCAATGGTAACGGTTTGGTTTCTCTGCCTTACTGTTTGTTCAGCAAGCCTGGTGGTGCAATGGCTAAGCGCCTGGCTGCTGACCGGAAGGCTGGCAGTTCAAACCCACCTGCCACGCCATGGGAGAAAAGACCTGGGGGTCTGCCCCTGTAAACCCCAGAGCCAAGGAAACAGTATGGGGCAGCTGTCCTCTGTCGTGTCGGGCCCTTATGAGTAGCAATCCACTTGATGGCTCCTAACCTAACAAGGGCCTGAAGAAGCAACGGCACAACACTGCTTACAAAGCATCACTCAGGGCTCCCTTTCAACTAACGAAATACTTCTTGCCCTGCAATCAACCCAAAATTCTGAACGGCTGCAACTGCTAGTGACGGCGGAGTCACAGGCCCGACCGGGTGGATGAGGGCGGCGGGAAGCCCTGAGTGGACGGAGGGGGACCACCCACGAGCGACCCCCATCTGGGCTGAGTCTCTGAAAGGCCACCTCCAGGACCAGGGATCACGAACCCCCAGGAAAGGGCGAAGCGGGTGGCCCGAGGCTCACCTCCAGGGTCCGGAGAGAGCAGCCCATTTTGGACTGAGATCACCCCACGACGTGGAAGGCTGCGCTCCCTTCTGACAATAAAAGAGTGAATTCCGCGGGAAAGGCGCGAGCCCCAGCGTCTGCGAGCCGAGGGCCTGCGTGGGCTCCTCGCCGTCCCAGCCTCCAGCTGAGAGGCCCGGCCAGCACGGGAGCTGAGGGGGACCCTCTGTCGTCTCCACGGTCCTCCACAGCGATCCTGCAGCGCAGGCGCCCGAGCCTGCGACGTCCCCTCGGAACAGGACCATGGACTTGGACCCCGCCAGCCCCAAGCTCCACCCGACCCCGACGCACGGAGCCCGCCTCCCGCCGCGGCTAACCTCCGCCTTGGAGTTCACTTTCACAAATACACGTCCTCTGTCGGTGTCGTAACTCTGGCCCTGGCTTATGCACCCGCCCCCCGAGTGACCCGTGGCCTTGACGGAACCATAGCCCAGCTCGCGCCGCAGTAACGCCTCCATGGTTCCAGGACTCGCCGCTCGCCTCTCCAAGGGGAAACCCAGACACCAGCGACCACAGCCCGGCCCCGCATGCGCTGGAGGGGCGGGAGGGGCGCCGGGAATGGCTGGAGGGGAAACGTCACGAAGGGGCGGGATCGTTCATGGGGACGCCCAGGGATTGGGTGAGAGACAAATATGCTAGTGTGTGGGGGCGGGACCGAACCACAGGGATTAAGGCGGGTCTTGAGGCGAAAGAAGCCTGGCGAGGGCTGAGCAGATGCGGAGAGAATGCGGTGATTAGGTGACGGGTGAATGACGTCACATGGGCATGCAGAAGCGCGGGGTCTCCACTCGACTTTGCATTTCAAGACGGCGGCGGATGCTCACCTTGTACTGCAGGTCTCTACCGTCCATAGCCATTTATTAGACTAGTGCCCGGCTCAGGACGCAGAATCGTGGCCCACGCTGCTGTTGACAATGGGGCTGCCGGAATCTAGGGCACTTGCCCCGCCCTCTGTCCTGGTCCTCTCTCCCTCTGGAGTTCCCAGGCGGGGTACTTGCAGCCTTCAGCGCCCAAAGCCGTGTTGCACTCGGTGGAGGATTCCCGGACTGTAAGCAGCGGCCTACAACCCCCTTAAGGGTGCAGCCTTACTTTGTTCGGGGTAATCATCCGACTGGCACGTCTCTGATTACACATAAGTTCTTCGAGGGCAGCGTCCACTGCCGTCTGCCTCATGCTTTCAATAAGAATGTGTCAAAACAAGCGGTGACTGTAGAGTGATGAGCCACCCAGAGCTAGTAAATGTGACTATACTTGGAGAAAGGGTCTTTGCAGGAGTCAGACCGTCCTAGGGCAGGTATCCTTCCTTATAAGAGACCGAAGACAGAGCGACGACATTCTGCCACCTCCCATGGCACTGGCAACTCTCCACCCCAAGACACAAGGACGGCTGTGAAGGAGGCGGCTGCCACGAGCTAAGGAATGCCAAGCACTCTGGTGGCACCAGAAGCCGAGAGAGGGGCATGGGACAGATTCTCCCTCAGAGCCCCAACAGAAATCAGCCTCTGGCCTCCAGATCCGAGAACCAGCATCTGTTGTTTCGTGGTAATTTGTCACAGCAGCCCCAGGGAACTAAGAGGCCTTGAACATTGACCCACAAACCTGGTCTTGACTGAAGTAGACTGCCACATCTTTCTCCTGCAGGGTAGCTGGTGGGTTCCAATTGCCCACCTTTTGGGTTCACAGCTGAGCGCTTAACCTATGCGCCACTAGGGCTCCCCAATCCAAAATAGATGGTAAAAATAATAAAGTAAGGCAAGACAGGGAGTCTTTTACCACACTTATGCCAGGGCTTGTAGTGCACACTGTTGGTGCCCCGCCCATATGCCCTTGGCACTCACTGTTTTCCAAGGTCAACCAGTAGCTTCTAGCCTCTGGCTCCAGCAACCCAGTCAAGGCTTTTTCTGGCCATTGGTGTTAGTGCAGATAGGAGGTAGGAACTGCTGGAGGGTGAACACCCCAACAGTAGCTGTCTCTGGGATGGTCTGCCCTGTTTCCCACACACTTCTGTGGGCTGCCTGCCTCACCTCCCCATGCCACAAGCCCCAGGCCAGGGGCTTCCTGGGGTCACTCCCACGTAAGCTACTTGGACTTGCACCTTGTCTGCTTCTGGAGGAGCCCATCCTAAGCAGGAGCTGTAGCCACAAGGGAAGGCACCTGGAGGCTTCTGGTGTGCGACCACATTGTAGTTCTTGACCCAGGGTGGTTTATAATGCAAGTGTTCATTTTATAATTGTTAAAAGTACACGTGTGTGTGTGTCCGGGTTTTGATGCACTTTTCTGTATGTACACTGCATTGCACAATTAAAAAAAGCAAAAAAAGAAGATGAAACAAATGGCAGTCAACAAACTGACTGAGCCTTTAGAAAACAATGAGAATGTTATGTATTCTAAAGGCCACAGAACAAGTGAATCGTGAAGTTGCCAAAGCTGGTGGTGGTGGTCTGGCTGTGGTTCTGGCCTCTTGGACATTTAAATATGTCATGAATACAAAGTTTCCAGCAGAGTTATCCTACTACTAAGTGTTTACTAAAAAAGTACTTTCGAAAGTGAACTTTATTAAGCCAATTTCATTCTAATTCTTTTTCCATTAAAACCATTTATAAATGATTTTTCAATTTCCATTTTCATTCTAATGAAATTCTTTCATCATGATTTAATGTATTATTTGGTCCATTTTTCAGTCCACAGGGAATTTTGCTTATTCTGCAACTACCATTATGAATGTTCTCTTGAATCTGTACTTCCACTAAGTCTAGTTTTTCTGAGTCAAATAGGATATTTTAAAATTTTGTGCTGAGAGTAATATATCTTAGATAAAGGACTGTTCGTTAGCTAATCCATGACAAAATGTCGCTGGATCATGGCCTTGTTAACCCCACAGTTCCATTCATTCTAAATACTTTGCAAGCCACGTGCCACCGCTCCAGGCCTTTGGCCAAGTAATGAGCAAACAACTGGCTCAGGATACTCTCGGGGGTCCAGATACTTGGGCCAAAACCTCCTGCTGTGTTCAATCAACCCTTTATGTCTGTCTCACTTTTTCTATTTCTCTGGCTTCTTCATCTTCTGCAAATGGAATTCTCTTTCCCCACATCCTGAAGTCAACGTCCCCAAATCTTCCTTCCCATCTGAGGATGGCTCCAGTCTGCTCCTCTGAAGCCCTTTCCCTGGGCACCACCGGTGTGTGTCCGGCCTGCTCCTAGGCTTACGCATGTTCCTCTCTGCGAGTACTCTGACATGTGCTTGGTCCCATGTGCACACATTGCCACCCCAACTCCATCGTGCGGGCCTCAATGACAAGGCCCTGGTCACACCTCACTGCCTCACTGGTACCTGCAAAAGAGCCTGGCTCAGAACGCAGTTGGGCCAGGGCAGCCAGGGCAGGTGATGTAGATGGCCAGAAGTCCACGGCCACCTCATCTCTCTGTGAAAGGCCCAAGTATGATGATGAAGCTGTATATTAAGTTAGGCCAAGGTGCTGTAGTGGCCAAAAATTCGAGCAGGCTGTGTTGGACACGAGTGTCCTATATAAAGGCATGAAACTCACATAACATGATGTGCTGGGAAGTGAAGGGGTGTGGACTGAGATACCAGCCACTACTGTCATTATGCGATAAATTAATGACATAATTAATCACCTGCCACTCTACTGAACAGTTCACTTGAGTTACCCATCCACTTCTCACAAGGTTCCCATTTAAGAGATGGGGAAACTGAGGCCAAGGGAGGGCGGTTACCAGCCCCAGTTCACGCAGGTGGGCAGCACAGGGATCAGGACTCCGGCTCCAGCATGTCGGCGAACGAAGCCCCAGCACTCACGGGTGGACCGGAAACACCGACTGTTCGGACGCAGGCCCCACTGTAGAAGCAACTGCGCGTGGCTGGAGGCCGAGTCACGTGTGCGGTGCCCATTCCGCTTCCCCAGCCGGAGGGGTCTCTCAGCCTGGGGCAGGGAGCCCGAAGTGGGCCGCTGAGCGACCACTCACCAGGAGCTCTCGCCGCCGTCGGCGCTCGGATCCCACGCGTCCTGGTCCGTCACCCGGCCGGGAGCGCTCCGCGACCCGCCAGAGGCATCCAAAGGAGCGTAGACCCCGCCATCCACGCCGTCGTCGTCGTCCGGGGACCGCGGTACTGGGGAGCGGGTGGCCGCGTCGCGGGGCGGGTCTACGTCAAGGGGGCTGAACACCCGAGGGACAAGAGGTGGACCGCGAGAGCAAGGGCGGGCACGAGCGAAGGAAGGGGGCGGGACGTGAGGACGGGGCGGAGCGAGGAGGAGCGTGGCAAAGTGGGGGCGGAGCGGAGGACGCAGAGAACATCATAGGGCGGAAGGCGAGGTGGGGGCGGAGCGTGAAAGCGAGGAATACGGGACGGGGCGTGACGTAACGGGCGTGAGGGGCGGAGCGTGAGAGAAGGACGAGCTGGGGGCGGGAGGGGCGAAGCATGAAGGGGGGGCCAGCACGGGGGCGGGGCGGGGGCGAGGCGTGAACTGGGCGTGGGGACCCGAGGCTGAGTGGGCCGCGCAAGGGGCAGGGCGCGGCGAATCCCTGAGCCCGAAATTATATTAAAGCGGTACTTTTGGGACATACTGGAGGTTAAGAGTTTTGTTTAAAGTAGATTTTCTCTTTATAGAGGAGAAACAACCTGGCACCTTGGCGGGGCGTCAGCAGATGTTATGCCCAGTGTGAGAGCTGGCGGCGCCTACAGCGCCTGTCCCTTGAGAAGATGTAACCCACCTTCATGGAGTCCATTCGGACTCACAGCGCCCCTACAGGACAGAGTGGAACTGCGCCAGAGGGTTTCCAAGGCTGTAAATTTCTACGGAAACAAACTGCCTCCTTGTTCTTCCTCAGAGCCGCTTGCTGCTGGTCCTTACCGCTGAGCTTTTGGTTTGCAGTCCAATGCTTTAACCACTGCGCCACCAGAGCTCCTTTGGGGAAGATGGTCAGCCCTTCTCACAGATCCTCAGTCCACTTTTAAGTGAGCATCAGAGAAGGGACTGGGGAAAGTAATGCTTTGCCATAGTTATGGGAGACAGATTCCACTTTATGCAGGGGATATGGCTGACCTACCTTCTCATTCCACCTTCCATAGGCCCCGAACCGCTTGGCGCTTCCGCCCCTCACTAGTGCCCAGGCAGCGCCAGGTCTTGTGACACCCCAGTGGCTCCTCTGTCTGCCCAGTCCTCTCCCGGGTCCCACAGCATGTGCTGCGATTCCATGTCACAGACGTGGACAGACACTGAGCACAGTCACCACCGCCCAGGAGTGCCCGTGGAGCTGGTGTGGAGGCCACCCTGCAGGGTGGGGCTGGGATGCGATCACTTGCTTTAAGAATATTGTCATTGTTCTTAACTGCTGTGGAGTAGGCTCAGACTTACGGTGTCCCCTTACACGCCACAGAGAAAGGCTGCCTGGTCCTGTGATTGGCTGTGGATCGGACCTGTTGAGAAATGCCACAG